GTCACAATTGAACACTTGCGGAGTTTTAATTTTTCAGTGTATTTTACTCCTTAGTGGCACATATTTTTCGATGCTTTTGTCAATGGCCCCCTCGCCATGCCTTATCCACTGTACCCCACTACAATTCTAACTCGAACCACCTTTGCTGGCCTTAAAATTCATCAACAGCAGCACTACTTGGGGCATTTTCTTGGATCTGCATGCAATTGCTTCCCTTTTACACATTACTGCCAAGAACACTCTTCTAATTTTTGTTTTTCCACACCAATGACAGCCCCCCCCAATCTTTGGGTATTTTGCGATCTGTTTTGTAAAGCATACATGCACCTTTTGCAAAAAATCCCTTTCCCTTGATTCCCTTTTTTGTTGGCCAAGATAGTAGTGAGGGTTTTATTATATTATAATCAAAAAGAAGCGCTAAAAACAAAGGGGCTAAAAAAAACCCTTAAAGGTGGTTGAAGGGGTTTATAAAACCCTTTCCATCTCCGAGTACGCAACCCCCGGTCTTTGCGGGTTTCTCTAATTCGATAGTAACCTCCCCATTTTTCCCAATTTATTTAATCAAAAAGAAGTGCAAAGCCACGGGGAATACGGCTGAGGGCAGGAAGGAAGCGAGGGCATCAGGGGGAAAAAGGGGGAGAGGGATGGTAATAGGTTAGGATAACAGGGGGCAGTGGATGGTAAAGGGTAAAGGGCAGAAAGAAAAACTGAACTAGAAAGGGCTGAGGGGAGTGCAAAAATATCATCGGTTTTGTGGAGAAAATCAGCGTTGTCAAGAAGTCAATGAGAGAGTCAGGTTAAAGGGGGCCCATCACAAAAAGGGGAAGAAAAAAGAGGAGTAGTAAAACGAAGCGCTTTTGGGGGTAAATTCTGGTGCTCTTTTGTTAGAGAGGGCAGTTAAAAAATTGGCTAATCGATACTGGAATTTGACATCCCCCTCACAGAAGGAACGGGTCCCTCTCCAGAGAACCCTGAGGAAAGAGTGTGCCCAATGCGAAGGGGGGGAGAGAGTGGTTCCCAACCCCGGCACTGAAAGAAGACGGCCCGTAAACCCCATGCTCGGTTTAATAGAATGAAGTTTTTTACCGAGGCAAATTTTACCAACGTTTTGCCCAAAGGGGGCGAAGGTGGGTGCTATTGCGCAAAATAGTCAGGGTTAGCATAGAAGCTTTTTGGGGCCCCCGTACCTTATTTTGTTACAAGCACTAAAAAACTGGAAAAACAAAAATATCGCTTACCCGGAATTTCCCACGGCTGTCCCGGAGCGTGGCCAGGCCACGCAGCAAAACAGGCAAAAGCCCTTAACGGTTATTTTGGGGTTTTTCCGAGCCAATATTTTTATGCCAAAACGGAGCCGTTTTGCCAATTTTTGGTGCTAACCGTGAACCTTTACCAAGGATCCACTGTATTTCTATGAAAGGGTTTCTCTTCCCGTGAAAACTTACCCCCTAAGGGAGGTTCCTTGACATGGTGAGGGGCCTTGATCTGGGGTTTTTAGCACTTTTTTATTTAATAATATTGATCTAGGAATTGGTCTGTATTGTTCCCTGAATTGTCTGAATCCCTTTCCCAAAACCCCCCCCTCCCGGTGCTGTTTTAACCCCTAAGGGTTTAGTACCCCCCCCCCCCAAGTTAAAAATAAAAAAGGTTGGTGTTTTTTTCGGGTATGTATGCCCTGTTGGGTTTGTTTTCCCTGTAACATGAAAAGCTAGTCACCCTTTACTTAAATTGGAGGCCTTAAGGCAGTGTGCCGGTGTTCTTACAGCTTTCCCATGAGGCAGTTCCTGGGGGGGTGCTTTTAGCACTAAATACTGAAAGAATAATCTTGCTAGCACAGAGGGAAGGGGGGGGAAGGGGCCCCTCCCAAGATCTTTCTATATATGATTTTTAGGAAATTTTTTAAAGGGTACGGGACCCACCGGGAATCTTGCCATAAGCACCTGCCCCCACCCCTAAAGGTACCTAGTTTGCGGGGAAAATAAAAAATTAAACCCTATCCTCCCTGATCCTTTCTACCCTGCCCCCCCTTTCCCCCTTAACCCCCCCTCCCTCTTGTCCCCAAATCCCCCGCACCCTTTCCTGCTACACTGTATGACCTTGTAGGTTTAAACTTTTTTTTATAAAACCCCCCTGATTGCCTTCTCCCCCAGAAGTAGGGCCCTCCCCCCAAACTAAAAAAATTTAAAAACTTTCTTCCCCGAGGTGTGCAGATATTTTCCTCCCCCCTTCAGGGCAGGCACTAAATCCCACCTCCACTGCAGCCTGCAACTTGAAAATGGATCTTTCCAAGCTTTAATCTATTTCCCAAATTTGCATTTTGGTTCTTCCTTCTGCCCCCCTCTTCCTTAAGTAATTTTAATGCTCATAATTTCCCGTTGTGTGTTTGGGGGGGGGGGGGGGGACTCGCTTGGTTTTTCTTGCTTTTCTTCCCCTTAAGTTTTAAAAAATAGTACATGTATCCCCCCTTCTGTCTTGCACTTATTGCATTGGCCCCCTTTGCTTTGGTCGTGCTCTCAGATTAGACAACGCGATCATTTTCCTATTCCCTTGCTTGTATTTTCCCCTGTGGGATTTAAAAGGTGAATTGGTACCTTTTTCCCATGTCAGTTTTTTTTCTGAGGAGCTTTCTTTTTCCTCCATGATGGCTATTTCAATATTTTTTTTCCTCTATTTTTAACCCTGGTGCACATTCAATCCCCTTAACCTTGTAGACACTCAAAATGTTTTCCTTTGGGGGTCCTTGCCCCGTAGTACATTTAAATGTGCTGCATGGGGGTAGATATTACAAAGGACCACGACCCTGATTTTTTTAAACGGGCCCAAAACAGTTGCAGCATATCCATGAAGCTAATTGCAATTGTTTGTGGGATTGTTTCTAGCTACTTCAGCTTCCCGAGTGCAGTTTGGGAAAAGGTATGGAAACTGAGTGGCAAGTACTCTCCAGACCTAGCTCCTGTTCTTGGTTTGCCGGTGTCAGCACTGCAAGACCTTGAAGTTGCCACAGATTGGAAATCTTGTCTGTGTCTGTTGGACTCCATCTTTGCCCCTCATTTTCTTTCCTCTAAGTCTTCAAGAGTTACTGCCTTTATACTTTCCCTTTAGCAGTCGTAATGTGTCTTAAGGGAGTAGACACTTTCTGCGTGCTGATCAGCAGCAGCAGGGCCTGATGGTATTCATATTTGTATGCTTCAGCATCAGTCAGCCCTTGCAGTTCTCTCTTGTCTTTTTAATCTTATTTGGTCGCAAGGGGCTCTTCCCCAGCTGTGGAAAACTGCTGCTGCTCTTTTCATAAACCAGGTATTTCGGGCCATGATGACTCTCGCTATCATCCCATTGCTCTTACCAGTGCAGTTTGCAAGTTCATAGAATGTCTCTTTATAGTCAATTTGGTTTCCATAAGGGTTGCTCCATTATTGACCCCTTACTTTGCTTAGATATTTATGTTCACAATGCCTTTGCTAGTAACCACTCGATTATCGCAGTCTTTTTTTTTTTATCTCGAAAAGGAATACAACATTACTTGGAGATACATGTAACATCTTGGCCCAAATTCACTCCTTAGGCCTCAGAGGCAATCTGCCACTTTGTCTTATCTGAGACACATGTGTGTTCAGGTTAATAATTCACTTTCCCTGGACTTTGTCCAAGCTGAAGGTGTCCTTCAGGGATGTGTACTTAAGAACATAAGAACATAAGAAAGGAGGAACACTGCAGCAGGCCTGTTGGCCCATACTAGGCAGGTCCTTTACAATTCATCCCACTAACAAAACATTTGCCCAACCCAATTTTCAATGCTACCCAAGAAATAAGCTCTGGTATGAAAGTCCCTCTCAAATCCAACCCTTCCCACTCATGTACTTATCCAACCTAAATTTGAAACTACCCAAAGTCCTAGCCTCAATAACCCCAACTAGGTAGAC